GAGCCTGGTCCTCCCGTGAGCCTGGTCCTCCAGTGAGCCTGGTCCTCCCGTGAGCCTGGTCCTCCCGTGAGCCTGGTCCTCCCGTGAGCCTGGTCCTCCAGTGAGCCTGGTCCGCCGTGAGCCTGGTCCTCCCGTGAGCCTGGTCCCCGTGAGCCTGGTCCTCCCGTGAGCCTGGTCCTCCCGTGAGCCTGGTCCTCCCGTGAGCCTGGTCCTCACGTAAGCCTGGTCCTCCCGTGAGCCTGGTCCTCCAGTGAGCCTGGTCCTCCCGTGAGCCTGGTCGTCCAGTGAGCCTGGTCCTCCCGTGAGCCTGGTCCTCCCGTGAGCCTGGTCCTCCCGTGAGCCTGGTCCTCCCGTGAGCCTGGTCCTCCCGTGAGCCTGGTCCTCCCGTGAGCCTGGTCCTCCCGTGAGCCTGGTCCTCCCGTGAGCCTGGTCCTCCCGTGAGCCTGGTCCTCCCGTGAGCCTGGTCCTCCAGTGAGCCTGGTCCTCCGTGAGCCTGGTCTCCCGTGAGCCTGGTCCTCCCGTGAGCCTGGTCCTCCCGTGAGCCTGGTCCTCCCGTGAGCCTGGTCCTCCCGTGAGCCTGGTCCTCCAGTGAGCCTGGTCCTCCAGTGAGCCTGGTCCTCCAGTGAGCCTGGTCCTCCAGTGAGCCTGGTCCTCCAGTGAGCCTGGTCCTCCAGTGAGCCTGGTCCCCCCGTGAGCTGGTCCTCCCGTGAGCCTGGTCCTCCCGTGAGCCTGGTCCTCCCGTGAGCCTGGTCCTCCAGTGAGCCTGGTCCTCCAGTGAGCCTGGTCCTCCAGTGAGCCTGGTCCTCCAGTGACCCTGGTCCTCCCGTGAGCCTGGTCCTCCCGTGAGCCTGGTCCTCCAGTGAGCCTGGTCCTCCAGTGAGCCTGGTCCTCCCGTGAGCCTGGTCCTCCCGTGAGCCTGGTCCTCCCGTGAGCCTGGTCCTCCAGTGAGCCTGGTCCCCCGTGAGCCTGGTCCTCCGTGAGCCTGGTCCTCCCGTGAGCCTGGTCCTCCCGTGAGCCTGGTCCTCCAGTGGTCCTCCAGCCTGGTCCTCCCGTGAGCCTGGTCCTCCCGTGAGCCTGGTCCTCCAGTGAGCCTGGTCCTCCAGTGAGCCTGGTCCCCCCGTGAGCCTGGTCCCCCCGTGAGCCTGGTCCTCCAGTGAGCCTGGTCCTCCCGTGAGCCTGGTCCTCCCGTGAGCCTGGTCCTCCAGTGAGCCTGGTCCTCCAGTGAGCCTGGTCCTCCCGTGAGCCTGGTCCTCCAGTGAGCCTGGTCCTCCAGTGAGCCTGGTCCTCCAGTGAGCTGGTCTCCCGTGAGCCTGGTCCTCCCGTGAGCCTGGTCCTCCAGTGAGCCTGGTCCTCCGTGAGCCTGGTCCTCCAGTGAGCCTGGTCCTCCAGTGAGCCTGGTCCTCCCGTGAGCCTGGTCCTCCAGTGAGCCTGGTCCTCCCGTGAGCCTGGTCCTCCAGTGAGCCTGGTCCTCCAGTGAGCCTGGTCCTCCAGTGAGCCTGGTCCTCCCGTGAGCCTGGTCCTCCCGTGAGCCTGGTCCTCCAGTGAGCCTGGTCCTCCAGTGAGCCTGGTCCTCCAGTGAGCCTGGTCCTCCCGTGAGCCTGGTCCTCCCGTGAGCCTGGTCCTCCCGTGAGCCTGGTCCTGGCTGCAGCCATCACAACACCTGGACCTTGTGGAGCGTGAGCGAGTCTCAAGTTTTTTGTCCAGGGATTTTAATATATTACTCTTGTCTCCAGTTTAAGCCGAGGCCACTGCAGGCCGCCAGCCGCGGGTAGGCCCGGCGGCGTAGGCCTACCTCGCCGCTGGCCGCATATCACTGACTGCAGACGGTGTAAACTAATAAAGAGTCAGAACAGTGTGTGTGTGAAGCCTTAACTCTGGACACTCCACAACTTCTTATCTCCAGAACTTCACTCCAGAAGTTGTCTGAAAAAAATTACTGCTAGAATTTACTAAAATTATGATGATTGGAACAGGACTGAGAAATCCTGTATAGCTGTAAGGGATAAATGAAGAAAAGTGATTTCTTCGTCTAAAAGAGAATGTGTCGTTTAGAAACTAGAGACAAAATCTTGACTATGCTGTCCCGGCATGGAACCCCAAACCTGAAGAAACCAAGCTGGGGAAAATGCAAAGCATGAGCTATGAAGAATGACTGAAGGCACTGGAACTCATCACCCCAGAGGAATGACTAAGGAAGACATGATCACGACGTACAAGATTCAACAAAGAGGAGAAGGAGGAGGAGGAGGAGACAGGCAAACAGACCTGGCGAGACAGGGCGCGAGTGGAGTGCCGGAGGACACACGCCGGGACGCCTCTTAGTAAGAAGCGAAGATACATGAATCAGACAACTGCGGGCGGTTAAGAGCGGACCCCCGCGTCCAAGACCAGCCGTGAAACAAAGGGAAGATTCATCAGTGAGTATACTCGTGTATACCACCAGGGGAAGGCCACAGGTAAACTGAACCACGTCGTTACACGGGAGATGTTTGGTGATAAA